TTCATAGAAATGAAGTCACGAAGGGCCTTGAAATGGATGGAAGCAACACAAACCGGGAGCTGTAACCTCTGGGCTGACATTCACGGAGCGATTCTATTCATAGCCGACGGAGAAACTCAAGGTTTAAATGTCTTTATTTCATTTGTGCCTGTAGCTTGTGATGAGCAGCACCGTGCTAAACCGTTATCAGTTTTCATCCTGTTATGAATTCAAATGTGTTGAGCACCTGATTGCTAATAACGCAGACACGCACTTACACACACTTTTGGTTCTGGTGGATTAGATAATATGGCAACAAGTCCGTTGTGCTCTAAATCAACAGCACATCTCATCTCTGCAAACAGGAACGGAAGGAATCTCGTGGAGTTTTGGTCGTGGAGAGACACGCGTGGGCTGCGATGTAGCGCTGAGCGACAGAGCTCTTGTGTTGCCACTGCTGAAGTCCAGAAGCGAGTGAAAACACAAAAAGCTAAAGCTTTATTTCCAAACAAAGCACTTCTATGTGGCCCTTCTTGGAAGACATTCCTCTCCAGCATTCCAGAGAGTGTGGAGGTGGAGGTCTCGACCACTGGCTCTGAGGATAATTAAGTTTGTAATTTTATATGAAATGTCCCACCTACACATGTCCTGAAACCTCTTTGTCTCTGACTACCTCTCTCTCCACACACATACATAAATTATATATAATATACAAAAATAATGATATGTCTATATCATTAATATTAATTATTACAACATATAATATATTTAAAATATATTATAAAATATGTAATACAATTATTATATTATATTATTATTTATATTATATTATAAAGAATTATATTATAATACAACAATAAATGTAAACCAATTAATGTAAATAGTATTAATACTTATTAACACAAGGTAATGTTTTTTCTGTACATATGAAACCCATTAATTGATTTAATTTTTTTATAAATATTTTGATTAAATGATAATAATTTTAAATAAATAATAAATTATCACATAATACATTATTTATAATTTACATACATGTTAATTACAATTACACAAAATATAACAGTTTATATATATAAGCAATATAAATGTTATAAACTACACAATTATATACACTACACTATTTTAGTGTGTAATATATATGTATATGTGTGTATTATATATGTACATTTATATGATAATTTCTTAAGTTTATTATTTATAAAACAAAAAGAAACAATGGGAATGAAATGTAAAAAACAACAACATATGAGTGTCTAACACAAGAAAATCTATTCTCTGTATATAAAATTATGAATAATATAAATATTTAGAAGTATAAAATATTAAAAATGCATCAACTGTATGCCAGAACTATATAAACAATATCAACTGTTATCAACTATATGGCTATATACTATACACTATTTTAATAATAATAAAATTGGGTTGGGAATCCCTAACACTTCCCTTTTAAACATACTGGAATCGAATGATTTTCATGACATTTGTTTCAATTGTAGATATTGCAGAAAAGTTTCGATTCCAGTATGTTAAAAAAAAGGAACTGTTAGGGATTCCCAACCCTACTGTACACTCTGCATTGCTCTACATAGATTTATGATGAAAAGTATCACCATTACTGACATCTTCTAAGCAGTTCTGGCATGTTCGGAAGCCTCTTCGTATTCAAAGTGAGTGTGAGATGAAGAGCAGGAGGTAAAGAGATCACTTTGCCAGGGGTGAGTTCTCTCCCCACGTTGGCGGAAGTTCTTACTCTCCATGTGGGTGGTTTGGAGAAGAGCCCGTAGCAGTTAAGTGTGATAACAGCGTATCCACTGTACCCACTGTGCTGTTTACTCACAACTCTCTTCTGCCCTGTGCATAACCTCCAGGATGTTTAGTCTTGATAGGCTGTTTGTTATGGAAGAAAAGAAAGATGAGATAATAGATATACTACCAAAGTTCTTTTAAGTCAGTACACCACCATGTTTACAGAACAAGGACAGATGTGTCAGTTTTGAATTGGTATGTATGTCTGTAGCTTGATTTATCTTTGCAGCACCCTTTTGTTTCAAGAACCATTTTAGCTGTACCAGGTTCTTGAGATGCTTTTTGTAACTGAAAATGCTCTAGGTAGGTTTTTTCAGATCACCATTTTGGATTCCGAAGCACTGATTTTGAAAGAACTAGATAATGAAAGGTTCTGAATTTTGGTTACACTCTGGTTACATGTTCCAAAGTGATGCCGTGGAACCATTTTTGGTTCCCCAATGAATCTTTCAGTAAACACTTCTTAAACGAACCATTTTTTCTTGGCGTGAAGAACATCTAAAGAACCATTTTCCACTATAAAGAACCTTTTGTGAGATGTTAAAGGTTCTTCATGGAACCATAGATGCCAATGAAGAACCTTTATTTTTAGAGTAACCTGTTTAGAAATGGTACAGAAAATCACGCACTAATGAACTCATCGGTGGAGAAAGGGGGTGCATCAAACCATCTGTTTTGGCCCAAATGATTGTCTGGTTACGCACCTGCCCATTAAAAGTGACTGACAACAGACGAGGTCATCTAGCCAGGGGTGGCCTTCACTACTGCAACTCACATAAGCACACAAATGGAAGAGTGCAGGTGGTGAGCAGGGAGGTGGTGGGCGGATGATGCCTGACGGGAGTACAGGAGGTGGGGTTTGCGAGGAGGGTGGTGTTGGGGTCACTGGAACTTGAGCACCGGAAATTGCTGGGCATGTTGGCAAATCCTTCACAGCGCAGTCTGTCACAAGAGGACGACAGGGACTGAAACCCTTCACACAGGATTAGCACACTGGCCAAGTATAGTCACAATCTGTTGGGTTTATTTTCACTGCTTAAAAGACTTACAGACCTGTAACACTAAAACTGGGACACATGTTGCCTTAAGACAATTGTGTCTTGGTCACTATAAAGCTATTACATGTAATTGAATAATATTAAAATAGAAATAGAAATTGAAATCTATCGTTCATTTTTAAATAATGAACTAAATAGCTCTTTATATATATAAATAGCTCTTTAATTAGTTTATTTAAAAAAAAATATATATATTTTATTATAGATTATATTATATTATAGATTAACATATTAATACATATTATTAATATATTTATACTACAGACATTAATATTAATTAAATAAATAATAATATATTTATATTTATATATTATATTCTTGTTCTATTTATATAATAATAGTTCAATATATTATATTTTTTACTAAATTAATTTAGACAAGCTATTTTATTTTATTATTTTATCATTAAATTTTCATAATCAATACATTTTATATACAATTTTATTATATTTATTTATAGGTGTACATGTAAATGTATAATTTTTTCCTTATATTTAATATTTATAATACAAAATAAATTAATGGGACTCAAAATGCAAGAAAAAAACATTCCATGAGTGTCTAATATGAGAAAATCCATTCTAATACTACTCCTACTCAAGTGTTCATGTTGGCAGATAAGTAGAATAGATCGTTATTACTATAACAACAATGCACTGCTATTTTGCCATCAGAAATAATAATTACTCATTTGAACCCTATTTCTTACTCCCACACAGGGATTATACCTTTATCTGATGTATGCAAAAGCCAAGAGGGTGTCAGGTTGCGGCCTGTTTTTGCTTTTAGAGCAGGAGCCTGATCTTCTGTCAGGAAGTGCCGCAGGGAGGGACATTTCGCTCTAACCTGCCCTTACCTGGAAATACCAGCCTGTCCACATGGAAAGTTGTTTTTTCATGGAAACACTTTATCTTTTTGGGAGTACTCATTGTATATCTGTTCTACATTAAAGGTTAAGCTAGTCTTTGAGTCAGCGGTTAGCAGTAAATTTGTCAACTAAACACTAAGTTAAATAGTTTTTGTGAATGACTAATGAAATGTTTTCTAGTAAATCTATCATTCTGCTTTGGATAAAACCAATAAATGTTACTTTTTCTGAATGAATTTTCATTTCGTAGTTAGTTTGAATTCTTATTTTCAAGTGAACCAAAGAAAACCGAGAGACATTGATAGATTTGAATAGACAAAATAGCAATTTATTAATAACTTATCATTTTTTACATTCGTAACATTGGGGGGAGTGGTTTTGTAAAACAGCCCCTCCCCCCAACCAGGCCTTTGCTTTGAAGGGCAAAAAAACCCTCATGAAAACCATCACTTTTCTCACAAAAAATGGCATGTCACAGAACTTCCCTGAACAGGAGACAAAACGTTCTCCCAGCTTTGTCAACAGACCTCAAATCCTTGCGCACACAAAAAAATCAGCGTTACTTGCTTCAACCCTCTGACGTCCCCAGAAAACGTACAAAAAATGAGTAGTATAAAGGCGTATGGGTCCTAAATGGGCATGCATCTGAAACCCCGCCGAATAGCATTCGAGGAATGCCTCGTACACGTACAAGTTTGGACGACCCTTCTGAACGTGCAAGCTCGTATGGTCAGGTCCACTAAAAAAGTACTGGTGAAAAGAAGCAGCTTATGGGAACTGCTCTGAAAGGTTACCACACAATAACACTCTTATGTACAGAACTAAGGCAGGAAAATTACAACTTTGATCTGTGATGGTGGTTAAAAGGCTGAGAACGGCGGAATCGATCCGTAAAGCAAAACTGGAAATATATTATACATATACACATTGCAAAAACCTGTTAAAGTTTTTTGGCATTTAACTCATCGATAAAGATAATATTGAGCGATATTCAGTTCGTTTACATAAAGAGGATGAAAAAGAGAAGAAAAATCTACAGCCGTTCCTTTAAAACAGGTATATTCTAACTACGGCAAGGCTTACCAACATCTTAATATACACATGTATAAATGTTTCAAAAATTTCTCCACGAAAATAAGTTGGAGTACAGTACACTCTGCCATCATTACCGAAGGGAAGTCTTGTCCCAAAAACAGGCAAGTCTTCATTGAAGACAAAAAGAGCACACCTAGAAAATATTAAGGTGCAAGTGCTAAACAAATCAAATGGAGTATTTGTAATTGTTCAGTTCCAGTCAAGTCTCTTTGGCACACCAGCCCCAATATATCGGATGTTCTTTCCATTTCGACAGTCTTTCCATGCTTGAATATGTATATATATGTATATATATATATATATATATATATATATAAAACGAACTACTTTAAAGAGTCTCGGAGATATAGAGTCACATGATCTCTCTCTGTTAAACAGCAGCGTAGAAGCTCTGGGCAACCGCATGCCCCATCAGTGGCTACTCTGGTCGGCCGTCGTCTCAAGCCAGCATCAAAAACGTCAGGAACCTCTCGACAGGTGGGAAACAAAGAAATGCACGTTCACTTCGAGTCAGGGCAGGGCCTCACGTGGACTCGAGAGGGTCCAACTGGAAAACGTTGTGATTGGTCGGCGTGGTGAAGTACAACGGCTGGGTCGGAGCCGCTACTCGGTTGTCGCACGGGCTCTTGAGTCCCAACGTGCGCTCAAAGTCCAAAAGTTGGCCCATGAAGTTAAAATTGGGCGAGATGTTGGACTTCTTCATCTTGACTATGTCGTACGCATCGTTCATGGACAGGTTGAGCTTCTGCATGAGGTACGCCACCGTTACTGTGACGGAACGGCTGATACCGGCCAGGCAGTGAACGAGAACGCCACACTTCTGTCCGCGGGCCTCATCTGAGGGGGAAAAAAGACGAGATGGTTAGTTAAATGACTTATGAATATGCAATCGTACATAAGCTTGGTTGTCAGAATTCATTACGGTCCCAGCATTGACAAAAGGGGCCTCATTCAGCAGGATTTCTAGTGCATGACTGCAGGCTGAGAGAAAACAACTCGCCCATTTTCTCAGGGAACGTGACGTGGAAATGGGCTATTAAGGTTAATCAAATGATCCTTCCGCTTGCCAGGTTACTCGACAATGGTACCATTTGGACGTGTAAATGTAGAAGTCATGGCAGCGCCCTGTCAAGGCTAGCAGGATGTCAACACTGCCCTGTAAATGGTCCTCATTGTGTGGCGAAACATTGCTCTGTCCTAGATTACTTTCAATGCTGCTTGCTTCCTTCCTGTTGAGCTCAAATTACCGCCTCCCCCCCTCCGTCTCCCATTTCATCATTAGCCTTTGTGTCACAATTGCTGTGGGATATGTTAACATGCAAACAATAAAAAAACGGTGCCATCCATTTGGTTTCAAAACACTGAAAGACCTTGTAGTTTTAATCAAAACTGGGACTGAATGAAAAGCAAATTGAAGCAACAAAAAATGTTTTTACTTACCAATAAAGCTGATGGCTTCTGGGAAAAACTGAGAGAGATTCTGGCTCCAGTGATCGGAGATGGGAATCTGCTTGTACTTAAACTCCCCGGCATTCTCGAACATGTTAGGAAGATTAGGGGTCACGTTCAAGATGTACTTGATGCCAAACTCTTCCAGGATATCCAGGTTCGTGGAGTCCTTCGCGCAGCCCAGATACAGATGCGGCAGGATCTCCACGGGGAACGAGGGCTGGGGGTTGGAAAGAGGGCTGCCGTCTGAGTCGGTTGCGCTGCTTGGGTCTCGGTCGATGTCTGACTCGATGTCCGAGGAGTCAGAGCTGATCCGGAGCCCTCCCAGACCCAGCACCTGGGAGGTCGGTGAACTGCTGCTGGAGGAACCATCGAGGTTCGTCTCACACATAGTGGGAAATTCAGCTTGAAACTTGCTGAAGCCACCTGTGAAGTTCAAGTTAGAAACACATTTAAAATGTATCCCTTAAAACTAACCACATATTTTTATCGGAGTACTCATTTTTTAATTACAAGTAAAGACTAGCAGATTTTTTTTTCACTCTTTGTTTACTAGTATTTACTTGATTATTTACATTCCAGTTCTAAATTCACTTGATAATAAATTAGAGTACACTAGTGTGTATTCCTATTGTTACTAGTAATATTTTCCATATGACTGGTACTATTTTTATTTTTTACAATTAGGAAGCCATTCAAAGAAAGTCCAAATGTTACTGTAACTAGTACAATACGAAATGTGACTAACAACTGGGATATTTGCTAGTGTATCATAACTAGTTTTTAATAAACGGTCACTAGTAATATACATTTCAGTTGGAATACTAGCTTGATGTATGAACCACAGATTTCCATAGAATTCAATGGCAAAATGTGAAATCTGTTACTATTAACAATTAAATAGTTAACAACGGTATATTACTGTAAGTATCTAATGAATGGTTATAAACGAAATTGAAAAACATACTAGTCGCCAATGGATTACTTGTAAATAACTTCAAAATAAATACTAACTTAAAAAAGATACTATTTAGTTGCCGTAAATCACACACACACAAAAAAAATCATCACAAAACTCGGTGGAATTAAACGTACCCTCAAGATAGAAAGCCTTGTAGCCCTCGTCCTTCATTCTCCTCAGCAGTAAACCCAACACGGAGCCGCCGTCGATGTTCTCATTCCACTCTCGGCTGTACTCGTCGTACAACACGATAGTGTCCGTCTTGCACCTCCGCGCGAACCTCTCCCTGTCTTCCCCGTTGGAAAGCAGAGACTTGATGGGCAGGTTGCCCTTCTTGAGTCGCCGGAGCATGAGGCTCGGGATGGCCACATTAATGGCCGTTTCGACGTGCGACGATTCGTAGAGCTCTTGCGTTCGGCAGTCCATAACGAGCAAACAGTCGCTGCGCGTCTCCAGCTGCTCCTTCAGCCACTCTACCGTCTTGCTTATGGCCATGACCGAATCGAACTGCACGGGTTTGAATTTATCAAGCATTAGTGAAATACGGTGAGACCTTAAACTGCGGAGAAGACGCGCTGCTGCAAGAGGCCGTGGACGTCTCAGTCCTGGAGCATTGAGATTCTCAACTCAAAGTCTCTTCTGCACCGTCGAGATGGTTAAAATCCTCGGGTTTTGCTTTGAGAGTCAAGCGCAGACTCGCTCTACTTCCACCCCATTCATGCAACTGCGTGCATTTATCAATGACTCACTATAGCCAGTGAGTGCGCGAGCCACTGACGTTGTCTTCTTGTTATATAACCTGGCTTCTCTCGCCGTCGATTTTCACACGAATCGATCTTGATATCAAGTCGAATATCGATCGCAGACGTGTCGCGAAAGCAAAACGCCTCGTAGCTTAATTTCTCTTCGATATCTATCCCGGAGAAAGCAACGCTGCGTCCTCCTCTGCTCTAGTCCTAGATGTGGTCTCTGTCACTTCGAGCTAGTGAATGGATGCCAGCGCCAGGCGTTTCAATGGATACATTATTTCAGTCAGCCAATCAGGAGGCGCCGAGCTAGCGTCGTCGTGGAAACGGGGCCGGATGGAACGGACTATGTTGATGAATTGTTAATAAGTTTGTCATTCACAAAAACGGAAAGGAATTTCCGCTCCGGATCAGAGGAGTGCAAACAAACAGTAGAGAGGCACCGCATGGGAAGGAGGAGTGCGAGTGTATTTGTTGAGGGGTCAATATACCTCATGCTCAGGTTACACACTCAGGTTGAACTCCGTTTAGCCGCATTTCAGTTTCGCCCAGCTGCAGTTTGTAGCTCGGTTTGTGGAGTCTAGTAGGCTACGTCGCTGGCTGCCGACGGTTAAACCCAGCTAACAAAAATAAGTTGCTAACGTTCCCATTAAGTTACGAAAACGTTATTTCTGAATCTTCTCTGGACGTTCAAAACGTTTAGAGTTTTAAAAGCAATAGAACATTAAGGGAGCATTCCATTTAGCCATTTTACAAGTAGCCTATAGGGAACGTTACTTTTTAATTTTCAATAAACTGTCATGGGCAAACATTTAGTTTTCAATAAACTTTCTGAAACAAATAATACAATTTAAAAAGCGTTATATGACAGGCTGTCTAAATATAACATTTCAGGGGAAAAAAAGAGTTCCATTTACGATCTATAAATAATGTTTTGTGCTAACATTTTGAAAACATTATTAACGCCCACATGACATTAGCTACTGGAAGAATGTTCATTCATAACTTTCAACTTTGAAAGAGAACTTTGCCAGAACGTTCACCCAACGTTCCCTGTTAGCGGGAAACGAACACATTTCGTATATCTGTGTTTTAAATTAAGCCATTTTTCATTTCATATACACTAAATAATTTACTTTTCATATTACATTATTGGTATGATTGATTCACACACACACAGGTTTACATTTGTGAAAAGTGGGGACATCCCATAGGCGTAATGGTTTTTATACTGTACAGACCGTGTATTCTATTGCCCTTTACCAACCCTACCCCTAAACCTACCCCTCACAGGAGACTTTGTGCTATTTCAGATTTTCAATACGCTCCGCTCTGTGTGATTTATAAGTGTTTTGAAAAGTGGGGACATGGGGTAATGTCCTGAAAAGTCACCTTCTCCTTGTAATACCTATGTCATACCTTTGTCATTATACAAATGTATGTCCTCATTTGTTACAAAAACGCGTACACACACACACACGTTGTGTTTCCATGTTTTATGGGGACATTCCATAGGCATAATGGTTTTTATACTGTACAAACTGTATGTGCTATTGCCCCTACCCTTAAACCTACCCCTTACAGGAAACTTTGTGCATTTTTACTTTCTCAAAAAAACTCATTCTGTATGATTTATAAGCTTGTTTCCTCATGGGGACCTCAAAAATGTCCCCATGAGGAACTATCCTTGTCGGGACATTTGGTCCCCATAACGTGATAAATACCAGGTACACACACACAAATCACCAACAAAGATCAACACGCACAATAAATATTAACTAGTTTCACTAACTAACTAAACAAGTAAATAGGGTGAATTCAGGTAAATAAATATGCAATAAAATAAACATGCAACAAAACATTCCAAAAATGAATTTATGTTAGTCTATGAAAAATGACAGCTGTGCCAGACGAACCCCCACAAAATAGGCTTAATATTAAATAATGCATTAATTAATTAAATTGCATAAATGTGAACAAAACACCCTAATGTGCATAACTGATTTAAAAAAAACACAGTAATATAACTGTTTTTATTGTAGTGTGTTTTTGTCAAGTTATTAACAATATTAAAGTGTGATTAGATCAGGTAATATAGCTCGCATATTCTCCTCTGATTATTCCGCTGATCGATCGCGCAATCCGAATCAATGAAGGTGGGAAGCGCGCTAAACGATCGCCTAATAAACACATAATTAAAGCCATCAAAATAGTTTAACACAAGATGCAAATTGTGAGTTTCTCCTCGCCTCCTCCAGTCATTTCCTACACTGAAGCTCATGTCATCTTATGTGTCGAGATAGCGTGTGTGCAAGCTTTGCAAAAAAATCACTCACGAATCCTTCAACAGCTGCACCGGATTCCTGCGCCTACATAAACCAAATGTCTTTGATAATATTTTTACATGTCATTACCCACAATTTTATAGTTGCTATCGGTTTCAGTAGAACAAGGTTAATTTGAATTGCATGCTGATAAACTATAACTATGCTCGAAAACAAGCGGTCGAATGTCAACGTGTTCAATTTGCATAAAGTAGGCGAGTTTATAGAGACAGAGAAAAAATATACATTTGCTCAATTGTGTTTACACAGTGGTGTTGCTATAAATGAACCTCTGGAAATGAATATAGCTAATGAAATATGTGTTGAGAATGAATGTAGTAGGCCAGATTAGGGCGAGCTGATTAACATGTTGTCAGACATCCTGTCTCCTGTGCCATTTGGCAGTCAATTGCTCTTTAATATAATTGTCCATCAAGGCTCTGTCATCATTCACATGCACAGCGGTCACATGGGCCAAAGGTGTGGTCAGTTTCACCCCGCTTACCATATGAAACACCACACAGTACCTAGATAATGGCCATTATCCTGTAGCTTGTGGAGATCCTTCTGGGAAGGCTTAATCGTATTCTCATTGTAATCCACTTTGGCTGCTTTACTGCTTGAAGATACTGCATCTGGATGAGCTTTTGTCTTCAGAGACATGTTCCCTCCAATTTCCAAATTCTGAAATCTTATAAACCACTGATTCTTCCACTTGTCAGTAGTAAAATAAATAAATAAAACCAAAATCATAAAATAATAAAAATAATTAGAATTGATAAAACTTCAAATGAATCTTCATGATTACTAGGATGTTCTTCACACAAAAAGACAATCATTTCATTTACTTTTTATGTTTTAAACATATCAAAAAAAGACAAATTAAAAAGAAAAATATATTTGTGGAATAATTATTAATTATATTAAATTAATTATATAATTATATTAATAAAATAAATAACAATAACAAATATTAGAATAACATGAATAATAATAATAATAATCATAATTGTACTAATAGCACACAAAAACAAAATGGCTGCTGCATACAAAAAAAGACATGGAAGAGGCAGACTGCATCATATATAATTTAATATCAATTATATTTTTAACAAAATTTTTAAAATGCAATAAAATAAACAATTAAATAATCATTTTAATGACATAAAGAAAGAAGGAAAAAGGAATATTTAATAAAATATAATTTAATCATAATAATTCGATTTTTATTAAAATATAAAAATTACAAAAATGAAACATTTAATAAAATAAATATAATAATAAATATATTCGCTTGCACTGATCAGCAAAATGGCTGCTGCATACAAAAAATATTTAAAGAACATGATATTTTCTCTTAAAATTGAAGAGGCTTTATCAAAACGTAAATTCATAAGTCCGTACTTTGTGCACTACTGACAGAATAAAACTGATATGAACAATTATTTTGAAAATTTCCTGATAAATTATTAGCTTTGCCATATTATTGTAATACATCAGTCTGTCAAGTTTGTCAATTGTGCCTTTTATTAGAGTCACTTCTGCAAAACCAACAAGCAATAGTCGCTGAGACTCAGTTAAAGTTGGACTATCCTTTAAAGTTTAAACAGACACATGCAGGTCATCCGGCCCCACGGCAAGAGCCCTACAAACTGATAACAGCTCAGTTCTTCCTGCTATTATCACAGAGCGATGATATCTCGTGTGTCAGAAGCAAACACAGCATAAAACAGCTCTGTGCTGAACATCCAAAAGTCCTGAACTTTGCAGGCATTTTCATTTAGCCAAATGCGCATTACAGACCATTTGCAGTCGTGTATGAATTTCATTGTTTGTATCCAAATATATTCAAATACATAGGGATATTTTTAGAATAGCGTGTATATAAACTTGTGGTTCAGTGGAAAGAAGTGACATCTCTTTGTCCCCCCCTTCCTCAGTTCCTGGGTGGGACTGGATGTTTTGTAAGTTTCTGCCTCTCACCAGGCCCACTAGACAGTGAGGTTTGAGACAATGCCGGCTCCGCTTTTATCTGCGTCTCTGTCCTGCATCAGGGTCTCTGCTGACCCCCCACTATCACTGACAGCAGCTCACGGTGCTCTTGGGATGAAAGGTCAATCTGATTGTGTTGTGAATCACCAGGGATTCTCTTTTCTTAAACTAACTGCTGCCCTCACCTCCCCCTTCACCTATGATACAGTGTGACTTCCTGCTCTCATGATGTTTACTTCCTCTCTCACTGTTGACTTACTGTTGGAGCTCTTTGTGTGCTGATTTCTGCTGGGGGCTTGGTGCACTTTCACAAACAGCAGAACTGCTAATAATGTGTGTAAATAAAGCTGTTTGAGAGGTTAAAAGCATGTGACCAAAGTCATTAAAGTGATTATTTCAATATTCAGTAAAACAACGGCTGAGGTAAAGTGGTTGTTCTCAGCATAAACACATTTATATGTATTATATATAGTCTAATACATTACTAGATTAGACTGTAGGTATTACACAACTGTTCCATATACAACATATAGAAATATATAAGATACAACTAACATATTTGCTCTCAAATGGATGAAGCTATTTTTCAGCTATTTTTGTAGGAGAACCATCATTTGAAGACATTTCGATTCAAAATATTGAATACAGTAAAGATGTGGTTTAAAATAAAGAGAACAAACAAACAAACAAATAAATAAATAAATAAAACAATTTTCAAAGCAGCACAACTGTTTTTAGCGTTGATAAAAATAATAAATCAGTATATTGGAATAATTTCTGATGTGACACTGAAGACTAGAGTAATGGCTGCTGAAAATTCAGCTTTGCATCACAGAAATAAATAGCATTTTAAAATATATTCAAATAGAAAACAGTTATTTTAAAATGCAATAATATTTGACAGTATTATACCGTTTT